TGCGTACGAAGGAGGTATCGAAGTATCCCTGGTCAACCCTGGCGCGCTACCTACAGATAGACGAGCTGTCAAATGCGACGGAGTCGACTCCTTGTCTTTCTCGTTCGACGGTACCCAGATTCTTGGAACAACAATTCACTCATCGCCACCTACCACAGTTATCCTCACAGCTCCGTATTATGACCCTGGCAACCAAATGGCCGACGATAGCATCAGCGCACTTTGGACTACGTCTATCCTGTTCCCCAATACCAGTCGTGACTGCAGTCATGCGGTACTATTGCAAGACTCTGCACAAGAAGAAGCGAGCTGGACTTTCACATACGATCGTAGCTTCGAGACGTTCAGGGCCGTACGCATTGAAGATCTGAGAAACGGAACAACATATTTCACGGGCCCGAAACCCGACCCAGGATCCCAGGCCAAGCTCACGCCTTGCACTCTTCCCGCAGCGACTTTCCACGGAGATCTTGTCAGTGCTGGGTTCCAAGGAAAGGATATCTGGCTCTATGGTGTCCCCGAAGACCTCGACGCCGTGCCCGAGTTCAACTCCTCAGGAACTGATGGATTATCAGCCTTGGCTGGACAGGCAAGAAGAAATAGTGGACCACCCTCGCGTTCGTCATCGTCCCGGGCGCAGGAGAATCCAAGGGTTCCTCAATGGCAAATGTTGTGTGATAAGCTCCGGAACACTTTCATCTGGGGTGCCAAGATTGCCGAACTCGACGGTGTGAGCACGGTGAAATGGGTTGCGGGCTTTGGTCAGACATCGGCACAGGAGCGCCTCGTCATCGCGGCCCGGGGCATCTCTCCTGGGAAATCCATCATTGAGGAGGACGATATCGACTTCATTGATGGCGGCAGAGTTACCCTCCTGGACTTCGACTACAGCATCGAAGACGGTGTTAGAACAGAGATTGAGATTGAAGTGGGCACTAAAGAGCCTGAGGTGCTCGAAGAGGAGCAAAGAGATATCGATACAGAAGTGGCTATTGTACGTCGCAGGACTGTGGCTCAGAAACGGGGAGATCGCGGTGCCTTGATGCGTGCAGCTACGAGCGCTGCAGCCCGAAGCAACCCTTTGCCATCTATGCCGTCGATGCCGCCCATGCCGCCCATGCCTCAACCCAGAGAGGAACGAGAAGCCAACAACGACGATGGCGAGGATGACCCCCTCGTCCCAAGACGAATTGGAGCAGCCCCGCGTATTAATGTTCAGGAGCCGACCTCACCTTCGGCACCTGGGGCAGGCGAGACTGCCTCGATGATTGGAGAAGAAGAGGCAGAAGAAGCAGTCGAAGCCCCATACTCCCATGACGGGCCCCGCTCCACCAATACTCTCCGTCGCGCCGCCACTGCTGCTGCCATGAACCGAAGCCGCAACCCGCAACCGCCGGCCGCTGGACCGGTAGAGTATCGCCGAGCTGATGGCCGACGGGAGCATCCCCACGAGAGCGACGCCGACAACTGGGTTCCGCCGCCGCCTCCCTACCAGAAGGACGATCCCGTTGACTTGCCCTCTTTCCTACGGAACGCCATCATCACACCTGGCGGTGTGCAGATACCAAGTCAGCCAGCGAGAACCCAGACAGCCGCGCCTGCCATTGGCGCATCAGCATGGGCGCCTCCGACGCGACCAACTCTATCTCAATCATCAGGCCGCCCTCTAAGCTATCAAGAGCCGGTCAACAGTCCCCCGGCTAATGCTAGCCATCATCTGCGTATAGCTAGTGACTCGACGCTTATGAGCCGGCCACGCACTGCAGACTCGGCAGTTCGTCCGACGCCCAGCCCTTCGGCCCATGTTGATCTTGACGACGATATCTACGACGTCTCGCCACCGGATTCCCCACGGATGGCTGCGAGAAGACAGAGCGAAACTCATGCCATCTCTCCTGAAGACCAGCGGATGGTCAGCCAGGTTTCGGAGGCTCGACCATCAAGTTCTGGGTCACACCAAGATTCCGAGGCAGTTTCTCCCGAACAATCGGTCGTGTCCCCGGTCGCCCAGCAGGTTCAGGCACCTCCCTCGCTGGGTTTGGAAATTCCGTCGGCATCCTCCGCAAACACTGCGGAGCTGCGACAGCCACAATCAGCATCTACCACTGATTTGCCGTTGGGCAGGCGCCTTTCCAATGCGTCAACCTGGCCTAGATCTGCGCAGCCAGGTGATGGATCTTACCTTCGTCCAGATGGCGGTCCCTTGAACAGTCACCCCTACTCTGCTCCTGCGACTGACGCAAGAGTTGACCATATTGTGGGATCTTCCTTACCGCCATTCCCAATGGCCGATCAACTGGCTAGTCTGCGGAGCCATGAACAGCTGCCTCCATCTAGACGCTTTTCTGGAAACTTCAGCTCAGTCCAGCGTGTACCAGTGGGAAGCCGCCGGCCTGGATCTCGCCGGGCGTCTGTGCCACAGCCTGTCTCGCAGCCTACTTCTCAGGCTCAGGGACAAGTTCAGGACCAGAATCAAGTTGCTGGTCCACAGTACGAAGACCAGCCGTTGATTATCAGCACGCCTAGCGGCGTCACTGGCGCATTCGATGCGCCTACTCGTCAGCAATCGAACCGCAGAACCGAGATGCCATTATTAGCACCGATCCCGCTACACCCACGGCCGACCCAGTCAGGTCCGGTACGACCAACGGTGGAACGCCTCGAAACGATATACAGCACAAACTCCACAAACCGGCCTGAAGCTTCTGGTAGCAGAAGTCTCATGCCGGCGTGGTTACAAGCGCCATCGACGTCGTCTGTAGGCCGACAGTCGCATTCTTCGGTGAACAGAAGACCCAGTCGTGCCGAGCGGAGTGCAGCTAAGAACATCAAGGACGCCAAACGACGCGGCTGGAATGGCTCCCAGAAGAAGAAGAAAAAGAAGAAGCAGGTTGACCACGAGGTCGCCAGCTCTACTGCGTGGACTGAAGTTTCCACGTCTAGCAGGAATGCGGCCCATGGCAAACCAGAGAAGGATAAGAAGTGTGTTGTGATGTGAGGATACCTTTGAACATTGGCTCGTTAGAGAGGCACTACGACGTGCCGGCAATTGCTTCAAGGCTTTTTGTACGTTTGAAACTTCATGTTTGGAACTATAGCACCGGAGTTGGGGTATGAAAGAACACGTTTGAAAGATAGATCGAAGGTCACTGGGTATAACCATTGCAATGACGATTCAGATATGGAAGAAAGGAAAAGTGGTATTGCTATGGTTGCCATGGCATGAATTGGTATTCTTGCCTCTGCTACTAAGAAAGACAGGATAGTTGTAGCTACTCACTCGCTTGAGATCGATGTGAGGTTGGTGCGTCGATCTATGATACCAATTTCTTTACGCACACTAAGAAATATATTCCGTACATATTTAAGTCTCTGAGGTTCTATTAAACCTTTTCTGTACCATTGCTTTCTACGTGTCCGTCTACGTTGATGACGATCATTCAGATGCTCATCATGTCCTTAATAAGGCGACAATGCATCATTAACCCCGTTGTCAAAAACAACCCCCAACGGACTTTGATCCAAACTAATCCCTTGTGCTCAGTCTACGGAAGCTCTATAAAAGTCCAAGTAGTGAGTGACCTTGCCTTGAAATTCAACGCACGCTCAAGCACCGGAAGCCCCGTTCCCGGCAGGTAGCTGGTCGGGGAAGCGTGAACGCGCAGTTACTCTTTTTGTTGCTCCTTGCTCTCAAGCCGACAATGCATCTTTCACCCTACTCTCAAAACAACCCCCTAACCCCACCTCTTGTCCTCGGTTGTTCCGCGTTCCGCTCGTATTCGTCAGCAAATGAGCCGAACGACTTGAACGCTGGAGAAGAGCAATGTGTCTGAGTTGAGATTCGCCGCCTGAAGTGGTTCATGGGAAGCTTGGGAACGAACCATGGTTGAAAACTAGAAACGTTGAGCAGAATGGTGTCTTTTATACATAACCATCAAATATTGACAGTCTAACGACGGGTTCACCCGACCAGGACGGTCCATGACGGATGGAATGTCGTTCTCCCGTCTCCTTCTTATACCAAGTTCAAGGTAACGGTTTCTACCCATTACCTACCGAATCAGTACCATCCCCAGTGCTCGCTTCTTCTCAGAATCACTACGAGAGTTCAAGCGAATTCCGCACCCTTATACAGACTACAACTCGTCTCACATCCATAGAGTGCCTTAGTGTACGCACAAGAAAAGGGACGTAAAAATAGGATTTGACTCTTATGGTCCTGAGGCTGATTTTCAATAATCGGAAAGAAGAAAGGTCTCTGATCAACCTAGCAGAAGGGTTCGCATCGGGGCGAAGAGTATTGTTGATCAACAGAGTACTTTAGTAGTTCAGCCTCTGATCTGAGCGACGACAAAAAGATCCCTGAGCCGTTTTCCAAAATTAGCATCCGACAGGTTTATATCCGTAGTGCACTCCCCCTTCCCGGCAGTGGTACCCAAGCCGATGGGGAAAAATAAAATAAACGGGGTCGAATCGACAACGATGTGGTGGTAGGATGTCATCAGCGGCGTGCTTATTTGCTTGTGGTGCGCCAGGCAAGCAGAGGACGGGACGGGACCCCTTCAAAAAATTAGATGCCAAAAATCCGGGTTTTTTTTTCTCTTTGCACCGTTGGGCTGGTTCCACACCTTCTAGCGATCGGCTCTTGCAGATCTCGGTCGATTCTTGGCCAGAGCTCCGGGGGGGCGCACCCGTGGCTCACGACACACCCTGGGAAGCGAATACAACCCAGGCCCATACATGATTTCATTGGGCTGTGCAGTGGTACCTGGCTCCCCCCGTGGGGACTGGTAAGAGGCCGGCCAGGCTCTTTGAATCCTGCTCGGTGCAGTGTGCCAAGATTTTTTTTTTGGATGGTTGTTGGTGGTGGTGGTTGATATTGGGGGATATGATGAAAGAGGTGACTGGACTGGCCGTACTTAGATGACTTTCTTCCCATTTTCCGGCTCTTGAGTTGGAGGAAATACACCCCGTCAATTTTTGTCAAGTTTTTCTCTGACTGTCCCTCGTTTCTTCTACTCTCGCTGTTTTGGTTATTTACTTATACTTCGCTCGCTTATACTACACTCGCTATAGACAGGAACAGAGAGAGAGAAGATCAGACGAGATGGCAAAACGCGACAGCCTGACAGTATGGCTCCCGAAAGAAATGTACGGCTCCGTCGAGCCCTTTGCCGACGACAGATTCATCTGGTGCCCGATGCCCTTTGACAATTCACTGCCAGTTGAGCAGACATCATTCATCGATATGGGCGGCGACGATGAGAACGACAGTAACAACAACGAGCCCGCACAACAACATCCCGACAATGACCAACCGATAATAGACTACGACCTTCCCGCTCCGCCGCCCGCGGCCGTGTTAGCGGGGCCGGCGACGGACATGTCTCCTTCGGAAACCGAATCCGAACGAGAGTTTCCCCTGCGGCAGACTAGTCAAAATCTCGGCCGGGGACGGCGGGGGAGATCCCGGAAGATGAGACCGGGGAGGCAGCAAAAGCACAGGCATGCCGGGTCCGAGAGCCGGGGGTTTTCGGTACATTTGGGGTTGAACCTTGATATCGAGGTAACTCTCAAGGCGAGGATATTTGGCGACTTGGAGATTAGCGCTTTGTAAGTTTGCTCCTTGGGGATCTCTCTCGGTTGGGAGTTGGACGTACATCTTTGCTGACGCTGTACTAGTGACGCATTATGATTATGACTTTGATGGGTTGAAGTGATGATAGCGAATGATTAAAGACGAAGCAACGCACGAAGGTATTTGGCCGCTTGCGAGGGAATGCACACAGAACTCGCGGTGACCTGCATCACTGAACCGGGTGAGCCCCTGTCGGATAGCAAACAACGCTCCAAGATATCCGGACCGGCGCTGTGAGTTCCAAAACTCTCAGAGCAGTGTTCTACCATCGTACCTGGTACGCCAGCGCGGAGAGCAGAGGTCGAATCCAAAGCAGCTAGCTGCTTGTCTCCTCTAGAAAGAAGAGGCTTTACATCATCGAAGATGGTCTCGCCGGGACCGCATACCAGCGGATATCTGTCGCGGCCAGACGCTCAGCTATCCTGAAGGGGGACCTGGAGCTAATCATTGCCGTGATGAAATCGGAGGCGACGTCCAGCGGCTGAAGGACCGTCGATGACCGTGTGCATGGGAAAAGGACGAACGAAGAGAGAGAGAGAGAGAGGGATACGCAGATTGGCAGTAACTGATACTTTGTCGTTGGAAGACATATGTTGCCCGGTACGCCCCTCGGTCTAATTAGAGCAAACCATGGCCCGTGGTGATCCATCTCATGGATGCGAACATGAGAAGAGAGGCTGCAAAGCGAAACGTTCATAATGATAATAATATACAACAAAAATGGTGTGAACTCTGAGTTAATGAAGTGACCATCTGGAAATAGACGCCAGATTCGCATCAAACAAGATGTTTGCTTTACATCCTGGGTAGTGCAAACAGCTGGAAATCTTCGACCTCACGCCCTCAAACCCTGGCGCCAGCTCGCCCACGGACCACACCCCAACTTCTCATCGAATCTCACCCATCTCAATGCGGTCTACTCCGTAGAACACGCCCCAAACTTCAGCTGTAGTGGAGACAGACTCACTATTCTCCCGAAAGGTGCGAACAAGGGCCCCTCCCCTGAGATGTGCAGTATTTGAGCCTAAACCACGCGAGACCTCTACACTAACGGGCTCCCGGACGCTAAAAAAAACCCATTGGATGTTCCTGAGGGGGGGACCTGATGTGAGATTTCCCGTTTGTGTCGATGGGAGGTAGCGTCTGGGCACTAAACCCAAACCACCAATGGTTTCCAGCCTCATCGCGCGCAGTGATGGTGTGCAAATCTCCTTGAAGGGGTTTCGCGCCGCCCGGACGGAATAAGAGCGATTTAGCCTGCCGATCTTTTTTTTCTTCTTTTTTCTTTCCTCTCTCTCTTTGATCTTGCCTACACGCTCTTTTGCCTCGCTCATTCACTCGTTTCGGGGGTTCAGGTCAAAGCAGCTTGAAGCAGAACGAAGATATGACCTCAGTATGAGAATGCGCCATACACGTATCCCAATTTCCCCTGACGATTTATGATATTCGGTTGCCATTGTTTGGTTCTAGATAAGCTCTCGATAACCGTCTTCGCGCGCAAGAAACAATAATCGACGATCACGCCACTGCCGAACTCCCTACAGCTTTCACCAGGAAAGCTCAATAGGCACCTTAGGAGCAAGAGAAGGACAGAAACGAGGTCCTATTTACGATTCATCCATCTCCAGCTTCAACCGCCCCCAAACCCGACAACAATGGCCCGCAACACCCTCCTCTCCCGTCTCCTCCTCCTCCTCCTCCTCGCCGTCCTCGCGCCCCTCGCGGCAGCCCAGCTCTCAATCTACACGGCCTCCGATAAGTACAAGTACCAAGGCTGCTTCAACGAGACAAACGACCTCCCCAACACGGCCCACGACCGCGCCCTCTCGGGCGGCGCATCCAAAGTCATGGAGGGCAACATGACGGTGCCCCTGTGCCTCAGCTTCTGCAACAGCGGCGCCGATAAGCAGTACACCTACGCCGGCGTCGAGTATTCTCGGTACGTTCCTCTTGTTCTCTTCTCCCCCCTCCTCATCTGCTTCTTCCCCTGCCTGGAGCTTCGAAGCTTTCAGACAGGGGGCCCTGCTACGGCATCGTAGATGAGGAACAAAAACTAACGATTCAATTGTAGCGAATGCTGGTGCGCCCAGAGAATCTCGGGCCTCGCGGTCAAGCTCGACGACAGCCAGTGCAACCTCCCCTGCGACGGCAACCAGGGCATGGTCTGCGGCGGCGCGCTCAAGTTGAGCGTGTACATGGTCAGCGCCGGCCTGCGGTCCTGGTCCCCGCCCGCGGCCGCGTCGTGGGCCGCGGTTGTCGTGGGCGGCTTGGCGACGTACGTGTTGCTGTAATTCGTGGATCAATGAACCTGGTGATGAGGTGTCATGGTTGGTTGGTATTGGGAGTCTTTTTTTCGAATGGCGAAAAGAATGGTTACACGACAGCAGCGTTTTATTGTTTCTTGGAGGATACCCCCCCCCTGTTTTTGAGTGTTTCTCGGACCTATAGAAAGTCTCTGAATTGATGATTTGTGTCTCACTCTCGCAGAGGACATCTCAACGCACATCTCACATGTGAGGTCCCAGAGTCAGACATCACGATGCTTTCTTTTTTCCCACTCCGTGCTCGCTTCGGAAACGCTGCATGAGGTAAACCGATGCCAAACCACAAACCCAACCAATGGTATCCTATCATAATCTTCGTGACTGGTATACAACAACAACAACAACAACAACAACAACAACAATAATCTTATAATCTCACAGGACCCAGGCCCCTCTGCTCAACAGCCCTCTGCACCCCCGCTTTGATATCCGCGACAGTCTTCCTCCATCCCTGCTTGCCCCGTCCCTCGCTGCCGTCGTCCTCCACAAGCCAGTCGAGCCACCGCACCAGCCTCGAAGCCTTTTCCATATCTCGCTCCTCCGAGACGACCCTGGCGAGATACTTTTCAAAGACCTTGACATCGTCTTGATGCGGCCCATCGTACCGCGTCCCGTCGTGCCAGGCCTCGAGCATGTCCTTGATCTCCTGGATCGACTTCACGGCGGAACCCATAAAGTTCATCTTGGGCGGCGGCGCAGGGAACTGCAGTTTGGTCTGTCCCGCGGGCGCGGCGTCGCTCGACTCGCCGTTTTGTTGCCTTCTGGGAGCGTTGAATAGGAGACCAGATCGTTTGGCCAGCCGTTTCTTGCGGTGGTCCTCAATGATCTCTTTCCGGACGTCCTCTGGCAGCTCTGCGAGGAAAGCTTGGTCCAGCTCATCTGGCTCTTCTTCCTGAGCGGCGTTCGCGGGGCCTTTGCTCGCCAAGAAGTTTGTCTGCTGGCGGTTGGCAGCTGCATCTTGCTGTCTCTCCCTGGCGTTGAACAAGGTCCTACCACCTCGCTTTGTCGGCGTTATTGGCTTTCTTCCCTGAATCAGCCGGTCCTTGCGTGGTGATTGCGGCAAACGGGTTTGTTGCACCGGTTTGCGTCCATACTGCGCCAGGACCTCGGCCTTCATGTCTTCAGGCAAAGCGTTGAAGACCTCCGGGTCGACCTGAGAAGGGATCATCTCATCCTGAATCGCTGGGCTATTACTCCGCGACTTCACCTGGGGAGATGCCTGCCTGGGCTCTGGCTTTGGTCTTTGGCCCCGTTGAAGCTTAGCCCGGATATCACCTGGCAGCTCAGCTAAGACTGCAGGATCAACTTGGGACGGTAGGATGAATTGAGTGCCCATAATGTTGAGGGGAGTATGGGCCTTCTCATCCCTTTCACCGGCCCGTGCTAGAGCCAAAGCAGGATGCACCTTGGGCTTTCTGGGTGTTAAGGGGTCATCCGCAATGGGATCCAGGGAAACGTCACCACGGGTTTGGGGATTCCTTGTCTTCTGAGGACTCTTTGAGTCTTCGATCGGATCCGTTTGAGGTTTCTTTGCTGACGGTTGGCCACCAAAATTTGGGAACGCCAACCGTCGTTGGCTGCTCTCTAGCCCAGTGGTGCTAGATTTGAGAGGTTCCAGTTTCGTCAACTGGACACCAAGACCTCGAAGGTCACCCGGGGTAAACTTGTATGAACGAAGAATCGAGACAGCCTCCTTAGCGATGGTTTCGGCATTGTGAGTTGCAACCCCAAACAAAATGCTCTTGCTGAACGAATCGCACTTCCCATGCCCCAGGTGCTTTGGTGGATCTCGGGGCGCGTCTTGAGCTCGGCGCATAATCTTCATGGTGAACTGCTTGCCCTTGACCTCTTCGCTGAGCAGGCGTCTCTCCAACTCTTTGCAGAGGTTTAGGATGAACTCCTCGGCTTCCTGCTGGTTGATGAAGCGAATGCCCCAGTTGACCTCAGCCGAGACGGACTTTCGGGGTGTTTGTTCACCCACTTCGGTTTTGTCAATGCCGCGCGCATATTCCCAGAGCTTCTCTCCTGTCTTTGGCCCGAGCGAAGAGGAAAGCCGCTCCTTGGAAACCTGTCTGATATCTTTGACGAACTTGACACCAATCTCCTCAAGCTTTCCACTGAGACTGTATGCGACCCCAGGTAGGTCTTTCACCTCGAGTTCGCCGATGACTTCTAGCACCTGCTCCGGCTTGATTTGAGATTGTCCGGCAGGTTTCGCTCTCCGTAGCGCGACCTTGGCTAACAAGATATTGGCCCCAATTCCGACTGATACCGCGCAGCCAGTCGCGTCTTTGATCTTATTGCGCAGGGTGAGAGCAATCTCCTCGGCCTTCTCCTGCTCTCTCCAGACACTACCTTCGTCAACCCTGGTGCCATCGGATCCTGTGGAGGACAGAATAATTGACGTGATGTCAACGAGGGCCTCGTCGATGCTGACACTCTGAACAACCCCTCCGAGATCGAGAATCGATTCGTAGAACAGACGACTGGCTTCCTCGTACGCGGGGAAATCGTACGGCAAGACTTTGATATCCGGACACAGCTCGAGTGCTCGTTTCATCCACATGCCATTCTTGACACCGAATTTGCGCGCAGCGTAGTTACAGCTTGCAATCTCTGAAGCGGTGCCGCTGCTGTGAGCTACTACAGTTGGTTTGTCGACGTATTGTGGATTCTTCTTGAGGGAAACAGCGCAGAAGAAGCTGTCAAAATCGACGTGGATAATGTAACGTCGCGACCCTGGCCTCCTCCGTACCGACTTGAGAGATGGCCCCTTTGCCTTGGCAAGATTCTGCATTTTCGACTTCAACTCGGCTTTCCAGGTCGAAAGGTGATGAAGACGACTTTCCGAGTAAAACTGCTTCAAAAAATCGGGATTCGCCGTTGATGATTTCCAGATCTTAGGATCCGAGAGGAGTATGGCGTTGTGTTCCTCGGACGTCATATCCTCTGACGACTTGCTTTCCTGTTTAGGTTCCTCGATTCCTCGCATGGGCTCTTCTTCAGCTTTTGGTGGTGCGGTATTTGCTTCAACCTTTTCTACTTTGACTGCTTTGTCCTCCTCTGGGACTATGCCGACCATAAGCTCGTCAATTTCCATGTCATCAAACTCTTCGACATCGTCCTTTGGCTTCAGTGGCGGCTTCTTCATAGTCTCCGACACAGATGGGCTGTGCGAACTGCGACCATGGCGTTGAGCGAGCGGGGACTCGGATCGTTCAGCGAAATGACTCAAAGATGGCGTCGCGGGACTTGTTGTAGACCCCTTGAACTGGCTAGTGTAAAAACTGGCATCGGTTTGATCTCTGTAACCTCTTTTTACTTGTGGTGTCGATTGACTGAGCTTGTTGGACTCGTCGATTTTGAATACCTTCTGACGCGGTCCATCATGGTTATTTATTCGATAATCCGACCAGGAAAGTAGTCTCCCAGCCGCAATTGAGTCCGTGACCCAGGCTGGCTTGACCAGTCTATACCTGCTGTAATCCATGGACTTCTTAGGCGGAACAGAAGACGCTATGATGTGCGTTGCCATGGTCTTTGAATCCAGATACTGCAAAAAGCCAGCGCCATGTTGAACAAGCTCGCGGTGTAAGCTGACATGTTGGTTAGCGACTTTTTATACGTGTCAGAGTCACTGACAGTAACCCACATGTGAAGTGGCGGTTGCGTATAGCCCATAACATGCGCAACGACCCCTTTGAATATTTGAGGCTTCTCGCTTGAGGCGGCGCGCATGTCGGCGTCCAAGTTTTGCAACTTGATCTTCTTCCGACGAAAGTAGTCTCCAAAGCCGCCGAAAGCGCTCTGCTCATACTCTTCGCCAGTCTCGTCGGTGAACTCATGGCCCTCAATCCTCTTCCTTACCTGCGAGGAGTTCTTCTCAAGGCGACTGCCCATTCTGTCGGTTGTCTCGGATGATGCGCAAACTCACGGCTGTATGAGTGCTGTGAGCGGTGGGGGCGGTCTTTTGACTGGCGTCTTGAAGATTTTCTTGCAGATCAACCCGTACATATAGCCGGCCGACTGGAATCGATCATTTTTGGAAGTTGTGAACACGGCGTTCAGTCGTTGCTCTTGGTGTAAGGTAAGGTAAATCGACAGAAGGGCGTGGTGACAGTTGGTGAAGTGACGGAGCCCCGGCCGAGGTGGATGCCTGCAAGCGCGTTAAGTGGGTGGGTCCGTCGCGTTCTGTAGGTAGTCTGCACGTCCCAGGATCTGCATGACTAATCAAAGTTCTTCAATTGCTCAGGGAGCACTGACAGCTTCCGCCGACGACGTCTCTCTAGATACCTTACCTGAGCCCAGTTGCGGCCGTTGACTCTAGGTTTTCTGCTTCCAATCTTGCGAGAAATAGCGAGCATGAACAATCAACAGTTCCGAAAGCTTTTGGGTGCTGACTCCGGCAAGGCCGCGTCGCCGAGCAATGCCTCAACCAAAGGCAGCGCAACACCAGGCGGCAGCGCGTTGGGATCCCGACAGCGATCCAGCATCCCCATGACTCCGTATGTTGCCGTCTCAACTGTCTATAGATCACTGACTGACTTTGTGTGTATTAGACGTTCCGTTGGAGTTGGTCATTCCCGGAACGAGTTTGCGCGCCAACTTGCGGAGAGGAATCAAGCAGGACAGCCCCAGAAGAAATTTCGCACATCAGCCCCGAAAGGTTCAAGACTCGCAGAAGGCTATGTCGACCGAGCACGAGACCGAACCGACGACGAAGAAGATGACCGCGCAAAAAGGATAAAGGCGCTTGAGGAAGCCCTGAAGAACGAGGAGATTGACCAAGCGACGTTCGAGAAGCTCAGCAGCGAAATCGCCGGAGGTGACCTTTCGAGCACGCATCTGATCAAGGGATTGGACTTCAAGCTTCTGAAAAGAATACGACATGGCGAAGACGTTTATGGAGACAAGAAGGATGGCGCAGAAGAAGAGGAAGCACCCCCGGAAGAGGAAGTCGACAATGCGTTCGATGAGCTGGAGTCAACAGAGGTGCAGGCTGTCGAAAAGGAAAAAGTGAAGAAGAAGGGCCAACTTGCGCCTGTGACCCTTGCACCTGGAAAGAAGAGAACCCGCGACCAGATCCTGGCCGAGATGAAGGCTGCGAGAGAGGCTGCCAAGGCCCAACAAGAGGCCGCCCTGAACAGCAAGTTCAAGAAGATCGGCG